AGGCTTGATGCCCAAACTCATATACTGATACATGCATTCCTGTAGAGACGCACTCTAAAGCACATAAGGAAAGAGCTGTATTGCCATGACCTTGGCCGAGACGCTGATGGGTTTAGATTCTGTCTATCGCCGGGAGGCGACTAGGTTTGCTGGGAGTCCACTGCTGCTGCAGGTAATGTTTCCCACCCAACCTTACATATATATTTGCTCACATCACTCGACCCTCAGGCTCGATTTTTTCTCTCAAAACCCTTGTCTTACTTTTCTCTCATCGTACATCTCTCTGTTCTTTATTCTCTCTTTTTCCATCCCTCCCCTAGGTATGGTTAATGGATAAGTTGCAGGTTGTGGACTCTTGCCCGGTTTATTCAGCTCGAGGCTACTTCTTTCGGCAGCGTCTAGTCAATGCTCTTGACGAAAGGTGGTGGTTCGATTGGATGTGCAATTTGTCCGCAGACGGCATTGCTTGGCGTTGCCCTTGGCTCAACCTCCCAGCAATGAGCTATAGTATGTCTCGGCTGACTGGGATCCAATTGATTGGCCTAACCCACTGCGTATTCTATTTTCCGTTCCGGTTCTTGCGTCAGTTTGGCCATGATCAGACTTGCCCACCGGAGGGGATTGAGTACCCAGCCGCTTTCCCGGTCCGGGGAGCACAGCTTGCCCGATATGCCGCGGCATGGAGGACTAGAGAGCTTCTGGCCCCTGCTTCAACTTTCAGTTGCACTTTGTCAGATGAATGCGTGGATTGGCTCAATGAAGAGGCACAGGTTGAGCCCAGCTTGGCATCAGATGCTCCGTCCAGCTCTCGCAGAGATACTTGATTCAACTATGCCCCTAATTTATTGCTTATTAGTATTTTCAAGTTTTCTTTATGAATGTACTAAAAAAGTAACCACGATTGTAATGCAAGAGCAGGAGAACTCTATTTTGAAATCAATGAAATTGAAAGTTATGGTACTGAAAATTTTCCACTTTTGGTCCAAAAATGGTCTAAGTCGTAAAAAGATTGATTTGAACAAAGTCAACTTTTATTAAAACTTTTCAAAACTATTTTCGATGTGGATCAGAACTGGACATGCCGAAAATCTGTCACTGAAATGCACAACCCCAGATCCCTGCAACTGGAAAGTTACCCCTAGTCTGAAGAACAATGCGGCACTTCATAGCAACGGAAAGTTACCCCTAGTCTGAGCAGTACTGTACCGAAGATCGCGATAAATGCTGATGAATAAAGATGACTGAGATGATCAAAATGGACAGAGTTGATCGGGGAAAAATTTATGGCTGAACTTCAAGATGAAGCTGCCTACGTATCCCAAAGATGGGAATCAAGCCTTACGTAGTTCAGGCTTGGGTTCACTCGAGTATTTTCACTCTCCTTTTGCGCTCTAACTTTTGCCAAGGCCGCCCTTTGCGGGTTTTCAACCTTGCGAGCTCAGTTTTTATATTTTCTAAAAAAAATTTATGCTCTAACTTTGGCCTAAGTCGCCCTTTCGGATTTTCGGCCTAGCGAGCCACTCAGGGAAAGTATTTCTTCAGCTTGTCCATGTTGATCGGTTGGGAGAACTCTAGGCCATCTAGGTCCATTAGAACAACAGCTCCGCCTGACCAGATAGACTTAATGATGTAAGGACTAGTCCAATTGGGTCTGAACTTGCCCCTAGGGTCATGAATGGGAGCTCGGTTGTCTTTGAGCACTAGATCCCCTTCCTTCAAATTCCTGGACTTAACCTTCTTGTTGAAAGCCCGGGCAATTCTGCGTTGATAGCCTTGGATGTGGTACAGTGCTTTCAGTCTTCTTTCATCAAAGAGCATGAGTTCCACGAACCTGCTCTGCTGCCAATCTGCCTCAG